GGGTGATACAGTGAATCTTTTTAATGACACACCATATTATATAGAATTAAAACACAAGGGTTTTAAGCCTTTTTTGGTAAAATTTTGTAAGAGATGAAAATTCTCTTTATCAAGAAGGAAAGTAATTTCAGACTTTTGAGTTTTAACTTCTAAATAGATTGTAAAATTAATTTTTACAAGATGATATTCATTTAGTTTAAGTCTTGGTTTATTGGGATTTTTGTATTTTTCCCAATCTGTAATGATTTCAAAGTCTTTAAATTTTTCTGACCACATTTTTTTTTATTAATAAAAAATAAGAAATAAAATGTTATTTATATTTTTTTGTTAAAAAAAAAAATAAACTAATATTTTGTTTTTTTTTCATTATCCTTTTCCATTCCTTTAGATTTACGTTTTTTTGATGATTCAGCAATTGATGATCATTCATAATCAGATAAACTATCTTCAATATTTTGTTGACTATTTGCTTCTAATTCTTTTCTATATTCAAAAAGTTCCTTACAATTTGGATAATCTCTCAAATAATTTTTCTTAAATTTTGGAAATTTTTTACGCCAATAAACTTTTTTACCATCAATTATGTGTTCACCATTATCTCTATTTATTTTTTTGCTTTTTTCTATCAATTCTTGTATTGTATTTTCTCCGTTTCGATATTTAACGTCTAATTCTAAATTGCAAAATTTTTCTTTATCGCCTTTATGGAATATAATTTCTGTTGTACGTTTTTCAATATCATCATTCCATTTACTAGTAAATTCAATGATATAATCTAAACGCCGTTTAAATTGACCCTATAAATAATATCAGATTAAAAATTTTTTTTAAAAAATAGAAATAATATCAAAAGTTAAAAATACCTAATCCCGCTAAATTGATTCCTCATAATTTTGTGTTCTACCAAAATTATATGCATCTTCAGGAGGTTTTCTTGCTGTTAAAAATATATATTTTGCCAAAAAAGGCTTAAAACCCTTGTGTTTTAATTCTATATAATATGGTGTGTCATTAAAAAGATTCACTGTATCACCC